CCTTGTAGGCTCTAATTGCAAGGCGAAGTGATATGTTGGTGATGTCTAGTGAAGGTCCACTTGGGGCTTATGCAAATCCACATGGCTTTGTGCATGAAGTAACAACTCTTCTTAAAACAAATGGATTAGCAATCAAAGGGTTTCCTACGACAGAATACAGTTGGTTTCCTGGGTAAGTTTTCCTTTCTTTCTGCACGCTAGATGTTTCCTGATAAAAGATGTGTGCACTAGTTTTATTCTTAAGCAGTGACATGTCTTCCTGGGAGGGGGCAAACTAGTAGAAATTTTTGTTGCTTTCTCAGGCGAGGCAACTAATTCATAAAGAATCGTTGTTGGTGAAATTGAGAATATTTAGCCCATGTTTGCCTAATGTTTATAAACTGTTTATAATTATTGGTTAAATCACTTTTTATCCACACATTTCGGGGGACCCATAAGTATTACCCACTTATCCATCATTCATTTCTCTGCACTTATAATTTAAAACGTTTATAAACACTTCCCAAACATGCTTTAATGAATGTTTCATCCTTTGAGAGGAAATGCTTAACAATTTTATTTTTTTGTTACAGAAATTAAAAATAAATAATTTCAGTAAATGTTTGATCCTTCTAGAGGTAATTGACATTCTTATCAGTAAGATTTATTTATTTTTTAATTTCTGCAACAATATAAAGCAAAAGTAAATCAAATTTCTTGAATTAAAAATTGAAAATGAGAAGACAGAAATTGCTGGGGTCTGTAAAAATGAAAATGAGAATTCATATCAAACAGGCGTAATTTAAGGGATGGTACAGACTGTAAATAATATTGCACCTAGACCCTAACTTTCCCCTACTTTTTGACCACACATCCTCTCAAAAAACTACTACTCGCAAATCCTATTCTCAAAATATCTCTACCAAACGGGCATAATTTCTTGAGGAAATATTTCGGCCTAGTTAGTGATTGGGTAGGGGTATTTCAAACCTTAGACGTTAAGTGTGTATGTATTATGGTGTAATTTCTTTCTTGTTTCGTAAAATTATTTATTGGAAGTCCTTCAGATGATAATTGTTGTGAAGATGCATCTTGTATGCTGGACTATGAATATCTAAATATTTCATTCAAGCATCGGAAATGGTTTTTCCTAATCTTCGATAATCCTTCTCTGAAGTTAAATTCTGCTTGATCAATACAAGGCGCAGCCAGTACTTCTGTAGTAGGAATTGGGACGTGAATATATTCTGAAAAACTTGTGATAACGCAGGTATGCATGGTCAATTGCTGACTGTGCCACATGTGAAAAGCATATGGGATGGCTCTTCACAGCAACGAGGAAGAAATTGAAACCCCGTTCCTTTTGGGGCATTAGGAGTTCACAAATTGCTGATGAAACACGATGAAGCCTGGTACACTGGTTTGTGCATTACCCCTGTGGTACTTTTGGAGTTCAATCTGTATGTAGCCAGCTACTGGGCATCAGTTAATTAGTTTTTCCGTGTATAAAAACGTCAAATAGCGTTACTGGTTGTGAGTGAATAGAGGGCGAAGCTAGAATGGTGAATGCACGTATCTTGGCATGTATGTCAGGGATTCTATCTTATGTTTATGAACCTCCACTGTGTTATCTGCATGAAGGTCCTACTTATTGGAGAGTTTCAACAGTGAATCAATAACATATATTCAAAATAGAGCTAAATACGAATATATACAAACTGTTGTTCAGTTTTAGGGAAGTTAACCATAAATAAATTCAATTAATTACAATAGAAAATGTTGGCTTGGATAGTACTCTATTTTAATTACAATAGAAAATGTTGACTTGGATAGTACTCTATTTCTTTCCTAATATGTGCTTATAGCTATTAATCTCCATAGGAAAGGAGAATCTTGTGTTACCAGCGAAATGATGCGCAACATTCTAAGTCTAGCTATTTATTGTTGGTATTTGTGTTTATTTCCCATATTAAGTTCAAAATTCCTTTGGGGTGCATGCTTGGACTTTCTATATACCACACTAGGAACTAGAATCACTCGTCTCCAAGCACAAGGATTCTAGATAGCTTAGCGGAAAAGATCGAAAATCAATTTCTCTGAATCATTAGATCTTTTTGACTAAGTAATAGAAAGTAGCAAGTCTAGTTTCATCAATCAACGCACTATCTCTGCATTCGATGAAAGTGTTAAATAGGCCCTTATGTAATTGAGGAAGAATACAATACTCTTGCAAAAAATCCCTCGCTGGAATATGTGGGCATCAAGTTTTTTGGAGAATCTATTGTTTCCGATCTTTGCAGCCATAGCAAGTATGGTCAACTCGGGTGAGAACGCGGACTACAATTGCTATAACTAGAATGAGAGAGACATGAATTGCCCGAGATGACAACATATTGACGTAGATCTTTGATTCTTCAATTTGGACATTCAATGGAGTAACAGGTCACAGTCAGTTCTATAACATCGGCCGAAGTGGGATGAGAATGGTAGAGAAGGCACATTTGGTACCATGGCTTATTTTAATAAACGGTTGTCATTTTTTTTTTAAATCTCTAGATGGCACTTACCGTTCTCTCGTTTACAAACACAAAGATGCATTGGATTCTCTCAAGAAATGAATATGAACCAGAATATTCGAATAGCATGAAACGACACGTGGTTCATTATGGATGTCTGATCCTTAAATTTCATAAATAATATTGCCTTACTTGAGTAAAATGAAATGAACGAAGAATGGAACAGTAGCAGAATTGTCGCATTCAAAAATTTTTGGAGGAACGTCTAGCACGCTGAATTAGATTTGAATAAGAATTGATTTAATCATGTTCAATATTTGGTGCAATTAATATCCAAATTGCTCCGAAAACAATTTGGCACTAACGGCATTGAAAAAGGTCGAGGGTAAAAAGCCCTGATTAAATGGGTATTGAACCTTAATAAAAAAAATATATCTATATATATAAAAGAAAACACATGAGAGGACTTCAATAATTAAAAAATATATATTTATATATAGTTTGACAATAATGCAACATTAAATTAAAGTATTAATTAAATTAATAACTTAATTTTATCTCTCACTAAATCTATCACTTAAAATGCACCTAGCTTAATATTGTAGCACCAATTTTGCTCAATAACATTATTCTAAAATTTCATAGTTTTTCCACCAATCGAAATTAAAAATAGGTTACTTATTTACCTTTTAAGTACAATTTAAGTAAATAAGCAAATTTTAAAACAAATTATTATTTCATTAATCCAATTACAAATAAATATGTATAAGAAATACAATTATAAATGAACATGTTTTTCATCAAGCCAAATTAAATATACTTCTGTACATATAAATTATGAAGTTTAAAATAAATATATTATGTTAATCAAAATTAAAAATAAGCAAGTTGTTAATTTCGAGACAATTTTTCAATATCTATACGTTTTTCTAATACTACGATGTTTTAATAGGCACAAGTCTAACTTCCAACAACGGTATCCACTGGAATAGCCCATTGAAAGAAAATAGTAACATCTTTAAATAATAGATTGATGAAAAATGTCAAGTCAAAAATTAACGAAATGTGTCGGGTTTGTGTGAAGCTATGCGCAACTACTAGTTTTTGCCAAAATGAGTCCTTCGTTGATAACCGAAAAGTACCTTCATTCCATTCATCCTAACCTCATCCCGTATTGCCTCCCTCCCCTACTTGTGAACAGCCATGTGACTCCCCTACTTGTGAACAGCCATGTGACTACTTAGCTGCTCTGGTGAGGGGGAAGAACAATGGAAAATTGAAACATGGTATCCAAACAGAATCTGTTATCATAGTCGAACAAAAATAGCATATATTTCCACCACTGACGTTGAAAACTATGTGTCTGACCAGAATACTACCTGCTCAACACATTGGACATAAAACATACAGGGTTTTAACTTCTATATCCAATATTATGCCATCGTCCCTACCAAACATGCAAACCAAAGGCCTATCTGCACTTCTCTTTGTTCCATCGAAATTTCTGCAGAGTGTATGAATTGCAAAAAACATTGTCATAAAAATTTACCCATTTCACATGCATATAATAATAAATAGGCTATTCATCAATTACTTCAAGCTGGTACTACAAGAAATCAATGAAATAAAGATTCAGGTACTTACAGATGTATAACAAAAGGGTAATAAAAATTACAAATTGCAAATGAGCTTATAATCCCACCGAGTTAGAGCTTGCAATTCAGACATGGCAGTTGCAGCTTGAGAATTGTAAATATAAGGATTACCTTTTCATTAAAGGGCATCTTCTCGTGGCAAGGCATGTTTCGATACAACAGAAGTGGTCAAGGTCATGTTTTCCTAACAATTTATGAACATCTCAGCCTAAACAACAAATTTTCACAAAGCACACCAACTGAAATGCCTAATAATATCTGGCAAATGTAGTAGCACAATTAATCACACAACAAATTGTGTAATGCTATTTAGCACCAGTCTGTGCAAGGAATCTAGCCAGACTTGTCCAATTATTTAAAATACATCACAATTTCCTTGGACAAGTCTAGGTGGGCCTATACTGCCATCTAGGTGGGCCTATACCGCCACCTGAACAGGTGCTAAGCATGACTGGTGCTAAATAGCATTATTTTAACAAATTACTACATTTTCAAGGGAAATGATAAAAACAATCTGATACCTTTCAAGTTGCGAACGCCAAACAGCGAACACGTTCTCAGTTTGAAACAGCCGACTCCTCCAACTCATTGAGATTTCAATTTCAATGGAGACAGTCAAAGAAAATTCCTTTAAAAAAAAAAGAAAGAAAAAAGCCAACAGAAAAATTAAGTGTTACATCCTGCAACAAATAGCCTTACCAATATAAGGCTATTTAAGTTGATTTGTGTACAAATTAAGTCCATATCGATGTCCAGGTCAATGTTATTCCAGAAAATTATAAAATTCAAATCAAGATATGCAAATCCAAAATAAAAATGAGGACCCAAAAGGGGAAAGATGTCATATAGTTGACCGACTGCATAGCACAATATTAGATTGCACGTACCAAAATACTATAGCAATCAATATGAAGCCTGTGTGCTCAATCTAAAGTAACTATTGTTCAAAACTATACAAACTTCTACCAATGAGTAAACTACACCCACTGGATATCTCAAACTGCTTGAAGCATCTAGATGCATTTGCAATATAGCGCATAGGTGTTACAAATAATTATATAAGTTGATAGTAAGAGTTAAGCATACTATCAAGAACCAAGTTGGCAGAATCAGTCAGCTTGGCAGCGGAAAAAAGGCTATCCTTTCTTTTCTCAAATTACAGGAAATGAGCACCCCTCGCATCTCATCGGAAAGAGAAGTCAATTCCATGCAATCCATAAGAAGTCCTCAACAAAATTGGATGCCTCAGGAAACAGTTCTCCCATAACACACAGATGCAATGTAAAGGTTTTTTGCCCACTTGTCCTGCAAGCAACCAACAAATTTAATTCCCGAGCATAGGGGTTGGGACAGGTGTGGGGTGGAGGGAAGAGAGAAGAGATAAAGAACAATGCATAAATAATAGATTCAGATATTCAACCTTGACGTGTGTACTTGGAAAAGCAGAAGTCCGAAGAGTCTCCTGTGTCTCATCTGCTGGTTTTCTTCTTGGAACACTCAGAACAAGAGCAGTTTGATCCCATGTTGCAGCAGTTGATGTAATGCGGTAACCAGCATCCCATCTTCTATGAACACCTTCACTAGGGTACAGAAAGTCCAACTCAACAACCTGAAATTCACAAAATGATGTGATCAGATCAACTTTCTTGGTCAGTTAAGAGGGGCATCAAATTGAACAGTTACTATAATTCTAGCATACCTGATCAGAAAATCCAGCCCCACGAGACATGACAATTGCCCATCTAGACCCTGCAGTTGCCATGGCAGTGACATAGAACCCCTCTCTCCATTTTTTGTTGATCCACTTGAACGGAAACGATTCACTGACTTTATATGATTGCTGCAGATACTGGGTACCTGTTCAGAAGAAAAACAAATTAGGAGAATTCCAAATTGTGCCAGAATATATTTTGAAGTCTAGAATACTGAAACTAACCCTTAGACATAACCACTAATGAACTTCCATTATTAGCCCCTGCTAACGCGCTGATATAATAATTCTTCTCCCATTGTTCCATAATCCATTCCTACAGAACATACAAGGGAAAGAGATTAGATACTGCTCACAAGCCCAGACCAATAAACAGAAAAAAGAGGTGGGTTAAAGAAAAGGCCAATGAACAAAAGTGCAGGCAAATGGACTAGTATACTGTTCAAAGACTTTAAAAATACCCAAGTTTGGAAGAATTAAATAGACCTTGTGAAGGAAATAAGGAGACAGTTCGTAAACTTGAGCATTGAAACCAGTCCCTGCATCCATAATTAGGGCCCACAAATTCGCACAAGATGCCACACTGCTGATAAATAGTCCATCTTCGTTTCCTTTATCAATGTGCTGGTAGAGCCTGACATCTGCCACATTATAGTGATATCTACAAGACCAACCGCAGAATGCAACTCAATTATTCCTTTGCAAAATCCTGGAAGAAACCTACAGTTGAACCGTGTATACCTTTGCTTCATTGGGCGTCGGGCATTATAGACACTAATCCATTGTGTTGCAGGCATACCCATTCGGATCTTTTTCTTTGGTTGCTCGTCATCATCTCCGTCCATCATCAATCGACCTCTCTTGTGCCCAACTTGATATATAAGCTTCATGACATACAAATAAGACGTGAGCACTAAACAATTTACAAGTTTTCAAGTTCAATAAACATGACACTGAGGCCAAATGGAAGCATACCTTTTGAGCACCTTCAGTATTGATTGGCCTGATGTCAGGATTTGGACCAACTATACCATCAAATAGGGAGATATATTTCGCATAATTAGGCTCTTCGTCAAACTTCAAGTTAACAACATACTCAACAAACTGACGGAAAGGTACGGGGCAGAAGCAACAGAGAGATTCTGGAGAAGTTGCCATCTTCTTTTTGCAGACAATGAAGCCTTTATTTTCACCCTAAACAAATCATCATGTGATTGTGAGCATTTCACAAAATATATCAATAAAAAAACTGTAATCCATATCAGGTTACTGTCAACCTGGTATCCCTGCCAAGGAAGCCGACCACGGAGAAGAAAAATTAATGTATATGCAAGGGACTCCAAATCATCTCTACGGCTCCCAGTTCTTCCAAGATGAGCGTGCACACTTGCATAGCGTACTGTGCCCCTGAACCAATATTCTCGTGTGTTAATAAAGCAGCAGGTCAAAACTTAAAAAAAGAAAAAAAATAAAAATCCAAAGGAGAAAGGAAAGGAAAGAAGTTAAAAGACATCAAATACAGAATCACTTTACCTAAAAACATCTGGCCGCTGATCATAATCTACATGCAGACCAGTTGAACTATCACGCCAGCGGGTAGCTGAAATGTGAAAACGCGTAAAAGATCGATGAGACTAGAGATTCCATTATTATATTTGTAAACTGCACATGAACTATTACAAAGAAGGCTATAATTGCAAAGCTAAAATACCCAATCCAAGATCAACGAGAAAAAGTTTTTTCTCATCAACTGTTCCAGGTGGACCAAGCAAAAAGTTCTCAGGTTTCACATCACCATGCACATATCTGCAGAATTCATAACAAACACATATTTCAAAATAACAGACGTCATTAGTAAGTATATTTTACATATAGAGGTAGACAGCAAAGCACTACAAAAGTTCAGCACATTTCAATACAGCCTAGATTAGTTAAGCAGTTAAGAAATAAAAAACACTGTACAGGTGTTATATATGCAGAAAGGAGATCCAATTCCACACACTACTACTTTACTTCACCAAATAAAAACCTCCCCATACACGAGTAAATGAGAGGACATTCCTATCCACAAAGCCTCTTTTGTCATTAGCATAAAATAACTGCCACCTTGGAGACTACTTGCTGTCTTTCTCCTAGATAGCATAATAAACTCCCGCCTCTCACACACCCCCAAACACATCCCCTTTCCAAAAAAACCACCCACCATCTTCTGTGTTTCGGGTAAGATAATGAAAAATTCGAGCTAAACCCATAATTATCTTAGATCACAAGTGTTAATTTGTACGTGGAGAGAAAGTAATGCGATGATGATTTTTGTAAGGAACAACTATAGTATTGTCCTTATTAATGTGGATAATCAGTGCTCATAGCTGAAAGTTAAGAAATTTGTTATCTACTCATGAGACACCATACAAAAGAAAGCTTTTAGTAATTAATGTCCAATGCCGCATTCAATTGCATTTATTAGCAAGTCTATGTGCTTCCCTAATTATTAATATACCGTCTATAACAACTCGTCAACTGCATTCATATTCCAAGCACTCAGGAAAGCTTGTATCGAAATTAATAAGTTTATAGGTTATTAATTTCTAGGTTAGCATGGTTGAACTGACCACAATTTTCAACATTCTCCATATCTATGTCACAACATTCTACATTTTCTTCTTTTATTAGCATTTATTACACTTAGATTCCCAATGAGTTCATGACCTAATAATAAAGCGTCTCGAATATCTGCATACCATCTACCCGCGCTCAAGATTATCTCTGCCTCTTTAAAGTTTAAGGTACGAAGAGAAGCATCGCCCTTCTGTAGACTGTAATTCAAATAACGCATATTTGAAGTTCAAATAATTACCCTTTGGAGTGCAACTTCTCTAAAATAGAGATGGCTTCAATCGCAATACAAGCCACCATTTCAGTGGACATCCTGCAATTTCGTAACAAGATTGAGTTCAAAAATGCAGTCTTATTAATAAAACCTGAAGAGAATAGATGAGAAATTTGTAGAAAACTTACGTGTGGGAAGTGTTATTCCACACATCCCACAGACTAGGACCAAGCATATCCATAACCTGCAAAGATTGTCAAGTTTGTCAAAGCAATAGAGAGGAAAAAATATGAAAGTTAATCAGCAATATAAAGAATAAAATATGCACTACAGAAAGCACATACCATAATATAGTAGTCATTTTGCCGTCCTTTGTAGTGTACACGCGGTATGCCGTGACTGCCACCAAGTGCACTACAAAAAGGAAAACAAAATTTAGAGCAATCGCAATAATTTTCGATTTTAAAAAAAAAAAAAGAAAAAGCACTGGAAAGACTAATAAATAGTAATAAGAAAAATAGACAACTCACCTGTAAACTTGCCACTCGTAAGGGGGTCCATAGTTACAACCCTTGCTGCTTCGGTGCTCAAATTTTAAGGCTACCTAAAAGTAATAAGAAAAGTTTCATATTTTAAAAGCAATCTGGAAACTGCTATAAATCACAAAAGTAAACCACAAAGCGCATACCTCTACAGCTCCTGGACCAGTTCTTTCATTCGGATTCGGTGGATTAATTCGACGACCAACATACACTTGTCCAAAACCTCCTTTCCCCAGTTTCCTATCAATTCGATATGCCGGAGAACTACCAACCTGGACCTGTTGTACACAAGGAAAACGTTAGTAAATATTCAAATTAAATGCAACAAGTGAGCTACCCACATAACCTCAAGTCAGATTCTGTAGGAGATTAAACCTTCCACACAATTCTTTAGTAAATCAAAATAGGGATGTAACTCAAATTCTGAAACATTTCAGTTGTATAGAACAGTTCCATGCAGAAAACATCTGACCTAGAATCCAAACTAAAACGCTTTTCAGCAATATTCAATCCTTTTACAAGCAATCATAACATTTAGGTCTGCTTTTCCAGTTGGCACCAAAAATGCTATAAACTGGAATATTTAGCTGAAAGAGTCTTTATTTTTCTAATTAATGCCCATAAAAGATTAAACTTTCCCTTATAAAGTGCTCCATTACGACAACGGCACTATAAATTCCCATTTTCGACATTGAAATACTTGTAGCTTCCCTGTCAATCCCCTTCATTGGCTTCTCAAACAGATTCCATGGAAAAAAAAGGACAATGCAACCCAATTCAGGTAAACATAACGGCAGTAATTATATACTTCAGCTCAGCAAAGACAAAAACATCCATATTTATATGAATCACCAAAAACACTACTCGTCTATCAACAAAAAAGGAAATTTTAATCAATCAAAAACTATTCACCAAAGTGTAAATATCAAAGATAAGAAGAACAAAACTCGAAACAAAAATTGAACTGACCCTTTCGGGAATGGGAGCAGTGCTGCCCTCGTCCTCAGCTCCCAAACCCTTGTCGCTGCCGCGGCCACCACTATTATCATAAGGATCCATCTTCCTCTTGACCTCTTCTTTAACTTTCTCTACCTTCTTTATCTCCTCACCCTCCAAGGATGTCGTTTTCTTCACCTTACCAACAACTCTTTCACCGCTCTCGTTGTCATCATCATCTAGCACAACAACATTCACTGTCGCCTTATCCTTACTATCCTTATCCCTAATAGTACCCTCACTCCCTTCGGTTTGCCTCCCTGCAGTTCGTCTGGTTCTCCGTAAGGCTGGTGTCTTAATCTTCTTCGGCTTCGGATTCGGATCGGGTCGTGGAGCAGCAGCGGGTCGACGGCCTCTGCGCACTCCGCTACGCAGTTGAGGCATATCGGTGATCACCCATCAACGCTGTTTTGAATTCCCGAAATCGACCTTCATCAAACCCTATCTCTTCCTCTCAGATCGGTAAGAACAAAATTGAAATTTCACAAAAATATAGAGAAACAAGAGAAAACAATCGATCGGCTATTATGTATTTGTATCTGTCTGATTGTATAAAGATTTTGGAATTTAGGGTTGAAACTTGGGAGATCTGGGTAGGGAAATGATAAACAAAACAATGGCAACAAAAAGCAAATACTGTAACCTTCTAGAGAGAGGAGAGAGAGAAATATGCAAGCATATATGTACACACAGAGTTTATTATAATTTTTTAATGTGGGAATAAAATAATTTATATTTTTGTTTAATTTCGAGGAAATTATTTGGTGGTAGTTCTATTTTGGGATGTTGATGATGTGTCAAATACTGATTGGTTAGAATATATATCCCGTGATAGTAAGAAAGTCTAGATTTTTGAGAAAATTAATTTTGTAAAAAGTGTTTTTTTTTTTTTTTATGAAATCAAGAAATAGCAAAAAAAATTATAAATTCATGTGAAAAAATTATTTTGTTAAAAATAAGTTTCAAATAATCTCAATCAAATAGGGGCCAAAATGGAAGCGAACGATCTCACAAAAGGTCCATTGAGAAGTGGCCAGGTAAGGTAATGATGATAAGTAGGAAATAATTTTAAAATAATATATGTCAAATGATATATTTCTTCTGGTTCATGAAAAAAAAAATGAAGAAAAAAGAAGAAGAAGGGATATTTGCAGCAACGACCCCAAATCTTTTACTTTTTGTAGATTTTATTTTATCTTCACTTTGTGCCACCACAGTCCCAAACCTATTAAAAATTAGCTCCCGTTTGACCCCTTTTTTCTTAAATTAAAATATGTGGAATGGCATTTTTTGGAGAATGAGTGGTTGAAAAGAAAAATGAAAATTTTTCGATTTACATGTAATATTATTTTATAGGAGATTGTGTGGTTGAAAATATGAAAGAGAAAAATGAAATTTAATTTAATGGGACCAAACGGGGGGCTAAAGTATCTGGATTTTAAATTGATGATTTTTGTTAGTTTGATCGTTAGTTGATCCAATAAATTGACTTTAACCTATTTTAAAATGGATAAAATTGTAACTTTGATCTTTCCTTATTACGCTCTTGTTTGAACCACATTATTTTCATAATAATGTATTTTTGAATAGTGTATTGATACGAAATATGGGGTTAAAAAAATAAGGAAAATTTTTGAATTTGCGTGTAATATTATTTTATTGAAAATGTGTGTTTGAAATAATATCAAATCATTATTTAAGAATATATTTTTTGAAAGAGTGCTGATCAACTATGGCTTAAATAACTAAACAAAAATAACAAAAGACAAACAACAAATTCAACGTTCATCACCCATGTGCACCCCCACACCTCACCTCAAACCCACCACTACAGTTCCATCGTCGCCTATTGTTGGCATCCACTGACTGCCACCCATCCCACCTTGGTGCCAACAAATCACCACCCACCACATCTAAATCACCGTATCGCGTCGACTGTCATCACCTACCATATCCAACCAAAATCCAACTCATCTCCATCTCCTCTTTAAAGCTTTCCATAGTAAGGAAAACATCTCGAATGACATGCAATACAACGAACGAAGCACGCATTCTTATGGGAGCTAATTTGCTTGTCTCCATAGTTTTCAATGGGAATAAGTTATCAATTCACTTAAGTAAAAATACAAAACAAGCTGATGTGAGTTGCGTTATCTACCGCAATGAATCTCTCGTTCATCGCACCTCTGAACTATCTTCTTGCAGCTTTGAAGACAAATCCTGGTAACTGGTAAGATTGAATTTCCCAAGCACGAGTATCTCATGTAAATGGATAAGTCACATCACCTCCATATCAATTACAAAAGTAAGCCAATCAACAAATATCATTGTTTGATTTACATTATTTTCAAAATACGTTTATTTATCTTTCTTTTAACAACACATTATTTAATAAAATAATATTACACGTAAATTCAAAACTCTTTTTTTTTTTTTTACCACATATTTTTCGTCAATCTACTATTCCAAAATATATATTTAGCTAAAAAATGGGGTTCAAACATTACAAAAATAAATAAATAAATATATTAGGCTACAAATGCTTGGTCGTGTCGGAATATTGCTTAGATCGACACCTAAATTTTCAAGAACTCGGACTGCCACACCTTCATCTTCACAAAGTATCCCAATAGCAAGTGTCTTGATCTAATGTAATCGTTACTTGAAATGACCATAATGAACAAACATTTAATTATATATCAAACTAACACAAAAGATACAAGCAAATCCTTCCTCCAAGCTACAAACGCAACGAACAAATAAACATCTTTGTGGCAAAGTACCTAAACACCCTGAATAGTTGCGATTGACAAAAATTTCATCAAGCTTATTTATAATCTAAATTGGATTCACTTATCACTACTATATAAAAAGGGCAATATTTCACTACTGTAGAAAGAATACTAGATTCTTCCATTTTGTCTCACTGTAGCTTTTTTTTTATTGAGAGAAATAAACGATGTCGTTTATCTTACGTGTTTGATACAGTGACTTTGTTGCTTTTCCTCAATTTACGCGGTGTGGAGGATTATGTCATAGCGTCATCTTTACTTTTTCTCCATTTTTACATGCTACAACCATGTCTTTCTATTTCTCCACACTATCTTCTTCACCATTTTTTCACGCCATCAACCATTTGTCTTTAGAAAGTTTATTTTTGAGCACATGAGTAAGTTTAAATAAAAACATTATTTTATATATGTTCGTAAAATTTATATAGTAACCATTTGGTTGACCAAAAAATAATATCAATCAAAAAGTTTACGAACCGTTTAAATAATAATTTATTAAGGGGGTTAATTCAACAGTAAAAGTGTAAATTTCATAAATATATGATTGAAAATATGTTTGAAGAAAAATAAATTTTAAAAAAATGAAGACCAAACATGTTAACAAATGAATAAATTTATTTTTCGAGAAATGAGTTTTATTACCATTTAATTTTTATTATGAAATGATTCTAATCTTAATATGTTAGATTGTGCTTGAAAATTACATAATCTATCAAATATAATTTTTAAAATTATTTTTTATAAAATAATATGTTTTTATGATTTTTTAATAAAGTAACAATGGAAGCTCATGCTTGAGCCTCCATAACATATTATTTTATAAAATTAATAAGAATTTAATTATTTTCTATTTTTTAGTACTATTGTATTTCACCTTTCAAAAAAAAAAATCATAAAAATATATCACTTTATAAAAATTAATTTTAAAATTTATATTTGATTGATTATGTAATTTTGAAGTACAATCTAACATATTAAGATTAGAATCATTTCATGATAAAAATGAAATGATAATAAAAATTCATTTCTCGAAAAATAAATATATTCATTTGTTAACATGTTTGGTCTTCATTTTCTAAAATTTATTTTTCTTCAAACATATCTTCAATCATATATTTATAGAATTTACACTTTTGCCCTTGAATTAACCCACTCAATAAATTATTATTTAAACGGTTCGTAAACATTTTGATTGATATTATTTTTTGGTCATCCAAATTGTTACTATATACCTTTTACGTACACATATAAAAATAATGTTTTTATTTAAATTTACTTATGTGCTCAAAAATAAACTTTCTAAAAATACATGGTTGATAACGTGAGAAAATTGTGAAAGAGATAGTGTGGAGAAATAGAGAAACATGATTGTAACATGTAAAAATGGAGAAATAATAAGCCTCCATTATTTTATGTATTTATTTTAGAAATATTAAAAAAATTAAGTTGATTAAATGAAATTAAATTATTGTACTGAAAGCTGATGAAGGAAAAAAGAAAGTAAAAAAATGCACGTTGAAGCATCCGTAATTACGAAGACTCAAGTACACATGAGCCTCCATATTATGGAGGCTTTATCTTTTATCTCCATAATACGGAGGCTCTATCATGGATAGAGCCTCTGTATTATGGAGGCTTTCCTCCATAATATATATATTTTTTAATATATACTAAAATTATTATTATTTTTTTAATGTTGTTGACATGGTGCGTGTGTGAAAGAATATTTGTCAATTACCATAAACAAAATTCTTCACAAAATGTAAAAAATAAAAATGCACAATAAATCTTTTTATTACTCTAATAAAATTACAATAAATTTTTTTTTACAAATAATACAAAAAAATTTATTTTTATATTCAACAAAAAAACACATTTAAAAATTAGCAATTTTATAACTACTTTTTTTTTTAATTTTTGGAAATATAATTATAAAAAATGAAACAATATTGAATTACAACATTTAATACTTAAGAAATTCAATATTAAATAAATTTTATATATTTATAACAAATTATAAATCGATATATGCAGCTTACCATATTTGAAGGTAGTTTACCGTATATGCTGTCTACCGTATTTGCAAACAACTTACCGTATTTTGCACCTTACCGTATATGCTGCCTATCGTATTTGTAAATAACTTACCGTATATGCTGCCTACCGTATTTGCAACCTGCTGATTTTTATATACCGATTTTTGCACTTACAAATATCAGGAATGCAGAACACCGTACATTCACTTATCAAACCGAATTTCAAAAAAAAAAAATTAGATTTTTATTTTTTCAACATAAGTATAAAATAAATATTAAATATATATGAAGCACAAAATATAAATACATATGAATATGGTGCCGAGAGAAATCAGTATCGTAGTTTTACGTTACAAATAATTTTTTTTTTCAATTTAAAATTCTTTCTAATTCTTTTCTCTTCAAATTTTTTACTTACAAGTAACTTTTTGTAAAATATTTTATGTCTTATACTATCTTTATTTTTAAATTTTTTGGAAGGTATGGAAATTGCGTGTTGCAGTATTTTCTTATAGTATAAATATTTTTTAATTAAAATTAAAAAAATTAAGTTTTTTCATAAAGAAAAAAGAATTAAAGACTATTTTAAATCAAAAAAATATTTATAATATGAACAAAACAAATAAAAAATAAATAAATGAAGAAAAAATAAAAAAAGAAAAAGAAATCTCCGTGCATCCTGCGCTAATGTAATGAACCAAATGATTAGACTTCACCAAATATTTCGAATCTTCAACCACTTTTGAAAAATCTACAATTTGATGCTAATAAAAATACAATAAATACAAAAATCGTACAACGCATGTGTCCAAGACTAGTACTTCAAAAAATCTAGATTACTGAAATTACTAAGCCCCCGTTTGATTTCCATTATTTTTAAAAATGTATTTCTCTCTCTCTTGTTTTCAATCATACATTTTTCAATAAAAATAATATTACACGTAAATTCAAAACATTTTCTTATATTTTAACCACATATTCTCCATCAAATCATTCGTACAAAATGCATTTTAGACAAATGATGGGAATCAAACAGCATCTAAGTAGTTGGACTACATGGACATAGGCCCATCATATAAAACGGCCTGACAGGACCCAATAGAATTTATTTATTTATGGGAAAAAATCACATACAACAACATTTTGAAAATACTACATAATCTTTGAAATTCCATAAATACTGGATTCTATACGACAAAAGATTAAAATTAATGATTTCATAAATTTCTATAATTTTTGTAATTGAAACTAACTCCTGTTCTGTTCTAATGCTGAAGGAAATTCCTTGACTACGATTTTATTAATATTATATTACACAGGTGAGAACTCAATAATCATAGAAATTAAGAACACATAACAAGAAGAGTTATTTTAACGAATTATGATATGGCACGTGTGCTGTGAAGCAAAACTTGAATCATGATAATTGCAAGACGAGTTATTAGTAGACAAATTAAGAGCTCGTTTGGTAATGATTTTGATAATTGATTTTTTGACCGTTAGGAGGAAAATGGGGTCCATTTGTAAAAGAAGAAGTCAAATATGACGCCTGAAATAGTGAAATAAAGATAAAAAAATTAATTTTTTGAGAGGAAAAATCGCTCCCAAACAGGCATTAACCAATAGAACATCACACATTATTTCATATTAAATTGTGGCTCATCAGTACCCACATGGACTCGATATTCAAATGTGCAATGATGTAGTGTAACTTTTTAAACTTGCTTAAAAAATGATGAAAATTTCAGTTAGAGACAAAACACATACAAGAAAAATTTGAAAATTTTGCCTGAGATTCATAATGTTGCATTAATTTTTTCTTCTTTGAACTCGAATCAAGCAATATTGTTTCTATTGAACTTGAATGCAAGGATAAATCAACAAATAGAGAGATTGTACTTTAGTGTAAGAGAGCAATAATTTGTAATTTAACATTATCGTCGTTTATGGAGAAAATAAATGTGAAAACTAAAATTGAGATACTTTTAAGAAAAAGATTAAATGGTGTAATTTTGATCTTATTTATTTTCTTGTGAAACGTAATTTTCTAAAAAATACGAATCAATAAAGATTTACATAAAGTTAGCTCACAGGCATCAATAACAAGAGCTGATGACCACTCTCTCTAGATAGGTCATGTCCAGTCGAATCAAACTAGATTGGTCCAAGCATTATCTTGATAAATTTTTGTAGAGTACAAGAATTTAAACATCGTACTGAACATATTAATGTAAAAATCACATAAGTTATTGATTAAAGATGTTCATATTAATGTGAAAATCACATGAGTTATTGATGAAAGGTAAAATGTTTGAACAATGACAAACTCATAGTTGATCTGGGATTTTTCACGTGCAGCAAAATTACTCACATATTTTTCCAAAAATCTATTTAAAAAAAAAGAAAAAAAAAACAAAATTCTCTCGAGGATTCCGTAATCAAAGTTTCATAGTTGAGCACTTGAGCTGGCTCCAACCCAATGACAAAAAACTGGCACATCCCAAGAATATTACCTAATTTATGGCAGGTACTGCACATTTTCGAAAGCAATTATATTAATTAATTTCTTTTGCCCTATCATATAAAAGTTAATTTCTTCGCTCGATATATTTTTGATAACTCGACATATAATTTATTTGCGTTAATTTGTAATCTGCTATGATGTCTGAATTGTCAAAAATGTAAAGAGGAAATAGCATAAGAATTTTCGATGGTCAAAGTTAATAATGAATAAGTTATTTATTTTAGTAGTAGGTGTAACAAAAAATGTTCTATTTATAGCCAGTGCCATGATTTCCTCCCCGCACTAAAATGGAGAAAAGGAAGTGGGAAGCCAAGGTTTCAACAAGGCTAGAAAATGCAAGTTCAGACCAAATATGGCCTTTTCTGAAAGACTTTTTTAGCCTCCACAAATGGTTCCCTGGCCTCCCCACATGCTACGGCATTCACGGCACCAACGGCGAGCCGGGTTGCGTCCGGTACTGCGCCGGATTTTCGCTGCCGTCCATAGACGGCGCCACCGTGAGCTGGTCCAAGGAGAGATTGATAGAAATTGATCACGTTGAAAGGAATTTAAGCTATGAGATATTGGACTGCAATACTGGGTTCAAGTCATATGTCGCAAGTATGAAGATTATTCCGGCGGCAGATGGCTGCGGCGGTTGGCAGATAGAGTGGCGGTTTGAGGTGGATCCGGTTGTAGGGTGGAGATTGGAAGATTTGGTGCCCAAGTATGAAATAGGGCTGCAACTCATGGTTAAAAAGATGGAGGCTTCCATTTCTGATTCTTCTTATTAACATGTATTTTTTATATGAATCAATTTTCATTTCATCGTCCATTAAAATTTGAAAATCGAATAAAGGCTTGTTAAAATGATTAGTTAGAAATCAAGAATGGGTTATATTTTTCATGAAGTTATTATTTTCCGTATCTTAATTTGAAATCAAACAACGGTAATATTTTTCATATTTATGATGCTAATATGAAAATTTCTTATTGAAAAAAAAAAAATAAAATAAAATAAAAAAACTTCCCAATTGACTTTAAATTTTTAATGTTAAAATGTTAAGTAGTCCAACTGGGGTCGCAACCCCAATTTAGATGTCTTTAGATGAAATGTGAAATGAAATGAGTAATTTAATTTCACTTATCATTTAATGTCACATTAATGTCACCTAAATTGTGGTTGTAATACAAATGAGATTGAATAATTGTCAAAAATCTTAATACAATTTGTTACTTTGTTACATGTAAATTGAAGTGTTAGATTTTGCCATTACAAACCTTCAAATTCGACTCCATTATCACCATTACTCAATCTAGTGGCGAAGATGGGTGGGGCCAGTGAGCCCCCGATGAAATTTCGAACCAATAAAAAAAAACCTTGCTATAGGTATAGGGATTTAAATCCTTGTACCTACCGAACACTCACATTTAAAGACGGGAAATTTTATTTTTTTTCAATATTTTATATACGGGTCCACTCTCATGTGAGTAAGAATTCAAAAATTTGTCAAAAATTTGGCAAAAATTTTCTGTACATGAAGAATTTTTGTAAAAAAAATATATGATTAGTTATCATTTATTAATATTATTATATTTTGTGTTTGAAAAAATTTCGATTACTAAATTAGGCTCTGCTGACTATAATTCCATACTCATCCATCACCACAACCCCATTCCCCGCCGGCCCAATACCTCAAATCTCATCAACACGAGCATCAGAAATTCCAGCGCCAAAAATCAGGAAACGAGTCATCCAGTGTGAAAGAAATGCATCCCTAAAGTGTGACATTACCTAGGCTTTTATACCCCCAGATGATCTAATCTAAAAAATCATTATTTGAAAACTCTTTTTTTTTTTTTTTTACGAACTTTTTTTCAATCATACATTCAAGTAAGAAAATATTTTGTAAGTAAATCGATTTGTTTTCATATTTCTTAACCACTTGTTATCCTAAAAATCAATATTCAAAATACTCCCCCGTCCCATTTATATATGCTGATTTTATTTTTAACACGGATTAAAAAATCATATTTATTGAGAAAGTAATTTTTGTTAAAATTTTATCATTCTAACCTTATTTATATTTGTACAATTTCAAAATTAATTGAGAAAAATTGGTTATAAGTAGATAAATTAAGCCCCTATTTGGCCCTCTTTTTTGGAAATGAAAATTGGTGGAATACTATTTTTTTGAAAAATGATTGGTTGAAAAAGAAGTTTTTTTATTTACATGTAATATTATTTTATGAAAAATCGTGTGGTTAAAAATAGAAGAGAGAAAAATAGAATGTAATTTAATGAGTATCAAACGAAGGCTAAATAAGGGTATATTAATAAATGAAAAAGCAAAATGTTGACCCCAAAAAGTATTGCCAACAGATGCCGGTCTCATCCGCGCACACGTGGGCGAATGTCCAACACGCCAAGATACGTGGACGGTCTAAAACGAGCGGTTCAAAGGGCGTGGGAGTAGCCCAACAACGCGGGACGGTGACGTTCGGAATTCGATGGGTTGTTAGTGATCCAATTGTACAATAATTACCAACCGGTGTTCGTAAATGTATATGTAAATGTGTATAAACTCGATTTGTGTATTGCAAGTAAATGAGAGAGAGTTGAGTAAAGTGTAGTTTTTTGTATTGATTCTTACATTAGCCTTTTGATATTACACAAGGGAAGTATTTATAGTGATACATGTGAAATGGGAGCCCTTGGATGAGGTGGCACGTGGCCTCATTTCTTCAATTCAAACATCTTATCCTAGACATGGGGCTTGACTTGCTAGCTTGCTGCGTATTTATTGCTTGCGCAGAGCCCCCATACTAGTGACAAGACTTGACATTTATGCTTATGACAAACGTTCCATCAATCATTCGAATAAGATCTTTATGCAGAAGATCTCTTGGGAGAAGTGAACATGGAGGACACTCCCTTGTGGTTCGGAGGCTCCTGCATCAGCTTCGGGGCTTCGATCATTTCACACAACACTTCCGCTTGAAAGCTTTAGCTATCTTCAACTAGCTCCAGCATCCTCGCTTCGGTTCATGGGCCTCAGCATATGGACCTCGGTAAAAAGGTGACTCGGCTAATGGACTTCGGCCATTGCCCATCTCGGCAATATATGCCACCTCGGCTGGAGTGCCACGTGGTTCGGCCTGAGTTGGTCATTGGCCAAGGTGGATTGGCCAAGTATGACAACCCGCAACAATAGTCCCCCGAGTCCAAGTATGGTCATTCATGTAATGCGTGGACTTTAATGAAGTAAAAATTGAAAGAATTTTTGAACCCCAAATAATTAGTCCCCGAAGTTCAAGTGTAGATATTTAGATCAGAGTCGGAATTAGAAATGTGTTGCCGTGGGTGAACAATGAAGAGACCGAGGCTGTGTTGATATTAAAGCCGAGGGTCGAGGCTTGATGGCTGAATGTTGAAGTTGAAGCCGAGGTGGTTGGGAAACCGAACCTGCGAGGCGTGACGGCTGAATGTTGAAGGTGAAGCCGAGGTGGTTGGTAATGATTGTGCCTCGATAGCTGTGCCAATGATTTGATGTTTTGTGCTTGTTTTCGAGGAAAAGTGGCTGAACCATTACGACTTCCATGGCGCCTGCTGCCGTAAAATTAAAAATACAATTATGATGGTAGCTGGAGCTTCTAGAAGCAGACGCGTTGGATGGGGCGCGTGGAAGGCACGCTTGAATCTGAGGCGTAGGTTTGAAAAATTGTTTGAATTCAACGCCTCGGATTTGATCTACAATGAAGGGCTCAGATTGACTGAGATTCGATCTGGCGGCTGGGGTTCGTCCTGGACCTCTATAAAAGGTGAGAAAATCCCATTTTTTAGGACTTTTGAACATTTGCAATCTGATTCTCTCTGAATCTTGAACTTTCTGGCTCCGGGACTCTTTATTCTTTTACTCTCTGGCCTATCTCCGTTCGCGTAGTTCCTCCTTTAGGTATTATTCTTAGAAGAGCCCTTTTATTTGTGTTAATACTGCGAAATGGAGTCCACCTCGGGTAGGGAGTTGGTGACAGTAGCTTCGTTAGATTGTGGGGACAGTCACGGGGGGATTTCGAGGTTGACAGGTACGCCATGACCGAGGAGCCAGTAGATTATACCGAAGAGTGGGGGGTGTCTAGGGTGCCTTCTAGTATGACGTGGAAGAGGTTGGGGGAGATCAGAGAGAGATACAATGTCCCCCACAATATAGGAATGTTAGTTCCCGAGCCGAATGAGCGGACCTGCTATCCGAGGCCCGATTGTGTAGCGGTCAGCGAATACCTGTTTAAGACAGGTATGCGTCTTCCTCTGCACCACTTCTTTTGGGCGGTGCTGAGGAATTTCATGTTGTCGTCGACCCAGGTTCTACCAAATGGGTGGAGCCAGCTGGTCGGTTCGTACTTTCCGTGGAAGGAGGTGTCTCTTGGGGAAGATATGCCTCTCCATGTATTCATGACCCTTTTCCAGCCCCGGGTCATAGGGAAGGAGTCCAGGGAGTGGTATTACCTTACTCCTTGGGGGGCTTACGTACCCTTTGTGGTGGGACTGCCTTCCTCCATTAAGGGGTGGAAGGAGTCCTGGTTCTGGGTGCGAGAAAAGTGGCAGGTAGTGGAGTGGGACAAGGCCCTTTCTTGCATAGTGCCGACCCAGTACTACGAAGCTCGTAAGTCTCCCAGCCCCTGCTTGTACTTCTGAATTGAACACTTAAAATTCTCTAACTGTTGGAGCTTCCATTGCAGATTGTAGTACGAGGTTCGAGCTCAGTAAAAAAGAGTTCGAGGTGATAGAGGACATTTACAAGAGGCCTCTGAAGCTCCGCCACATTGACCACCTGATCGACAGTAGTCGCTACTTCTTGGACTTTGGACTGATGGCTTCTAGAGGTACGAAGCTCCCACAGTTGTAAATTTTCTTGTTCTTTTGTTTTGATACTGATGTGCTGACCTGACGTGCTATGCAAATAAATTTAAGAGGAGGGAGTACCCAGCTCCGGACATGGCTACTATTTTAAAGGCCACAACCACTGTCAAGGCGAGGCCCCTGAAGCCGGGGTCCGGTGGGGCCAAGGAGGTCCGAGGCAGGGTGGAATGCCTCTCGAAGGATAGCACTCCAAAGGCTTCCAAAGAGGGGGCTCCTCAGAGGTAGGAGAAGCAAAAAGAGTCTCGGGAGAAAGAGAAAGTCCCTGAGGAGAAGAAGAGGAGGGAGCTGGTGCACATCACCAGCTCGTCAAGGAAATTTGGGACATCAGTGACCCACGAGGCTAAATCAATTGGCGAGCCGAAGTTGCTCGCATCCGCCTCCAAAGCCATCAAGATAGAAATGGTTAGAGAGGCGGAGGCACAAGAAGAGGCTGCGAGGAGAGCCGCCGAGGCTGCTGAGGATGAGACAGCGAAACAGAAGCCTCTTCGAGAGAAAGGCAAGTCTCCAAGCTTCCTAGCTGGTAGGGAGGAGACCTTGGCCCCAGCTTTGGTTGAGGCTTTGCCCTAGGAGGTCCGGAGCGCTACTGAGAGCTTCTACCGGTTCTGGACTGATAGGTGGTAGCTGCATGCCTCGTCTTGCGACGCGACTGACCTGACGAGGGCCTTGGTGAGCCAAAGCATCAGAACCTTTGGCCTCGCACTTGAATGCAGAGAGGCCCTGAGTGATTTTCAGACAAGGACCCAGTCTTCGGAGGAGAAGACGGCCTCCCTTACAGAGGAATTGAAGGCAGCTAAGGCCGAGGCGGAAGAAGTTAGGGCCCAAAAACTTGAAGAATTGGCCAAGCTAGAGTCTGCCTTGGCCCAGATTGAGGCCTTGAAGAAGGAAGTCCATGAGTCACGGTGCGAGGTGGCCTTCCTGACAAAGAAGGTAGAGGTCTCCAATGAGCACCAGAAAGTGACCGCCGAGGCCCTAGAGAAGGCAAATCTCTCCTTAGTGGGTGCCCAAGAGGCTAACCGGTTCTTGGAAACCCAACTCAAATGGTATGTGGATGATGCCTCCCATGCTAGGGAGGAGGCTCAACAGGCGAGGGAGGAGGCGGTGTAGGAGTACGTCGCCAACTTCCATAATACAGAGGAGTATAAGAGCTTTAGAGTCTACCTTGGCCCAGATTGAGGCCTTGAAGAAGGAAGTCCACGAGTCACAGTGCGAGGTAGCCTCCCTGACAAAGAAGGTAGAGGTCTCCAATGAGCACCAAAAAGTGACCGTCGAGGCTCTGGAGAAGGCAAATCTCTCCTTAGTGGGTGCCTAAGAGGCTAACCGGTTCTTGGAAACCCAACTCAAATGGTATGTGGATGATGCCTCCCACGCTAGGGAGGAGGCTCAACAGGCGAGGGAGGAGGCGGTGCAGGAGTACGTCGCCAACTTCCATAATACAGAGGAGTATAAGAGCTTTAGTGCGTATTGGAGAAACTTTGCCTATGCCGAGGTGATGGAGCGGGCAGAGGAGCTGTATCCCAATTTGGATCTGACTCAACTCGGGTCTGAATTCGTGGATGAAGTACCTCATACCCTCTCTGAGGAGGTGCAGGGAAATGACGCAGCTGAGGTAGAGGAGACAAATGCCGATGCTCAAACTGCCCAAGCCTTAAGTACTGAAGCGCCTCCCCCATCTACCCAGGCTTAGATTAGTTTTCTTTTCAGTCTTTCGAATGTAATGGCTTGAGGCCCACTTTTGTAATCCTTATTGAAGATCAATGTAATGCCTTTTTCCTTCATTGTTGTTTCTTTATCCAAGTGTACGCGCCTCGTTAAGCAAATGAACTTAAAAGTTGACAGAAGCACTAACAAAATAACATTAACTTGGTACCTTAACTTCAATCACTTAACTGGATTGGACGACTGTATGAGCCTCGGACTTAAACAAACAAACTTTACTTAAGCGTAATAACTGTATGAGCCTCGGACTTAGGCAAATGAACTTTACCCAAGCATAATAACTGTATAAGCCTCGGATTTAGGCAAATGAACAACTCCATGAGCCTGGGACTGTATGAGCTTCGGACTTAAGCAAACGAACTTTATTTAAGCGTAATAACTGTATGAGCCTCGGACTTAGGCAAATAAACTTTACCCAAGCATAGTAATTGTATGAGCTTCGGAATGCGAGTGAGGAGGCTTCTCCCCTTGGCGTTCAGCCTGGCCAAAAGAAGTCGTGTGCTAGCGCCTCGGATTTCAAGTGAGGTGGCCCAGAGGTAGGACGCGAGCCTTTCCTCTGAGGTGATGACGCATCCCAGATATAGTGGATGGTGCAGTTATGTTGAGGCTTCTCCCCTAGGCGTTCAGCCTGGTCAAAGGGAGGTATGTGCTAACGCCTCGGAGATCAAGCGGGGTGGCCCAGAGGTGGGACGCGAGCCTCTCCTCCGAGGTGACGATGCATCCCAAACATGGTGGATGGTGCAGCCATGTTGAGACTTCTCCCCTTGGCGTTCGGCCTGGCCAAAGGGAGGCATGTGCTAGAGCCTCGGAGATCAAGCGAGGTGGCCCATAAGTAGGACGCGATCCTCTCCTCCGAGGTGTCGAGGTAGTACAACACGTCAATTTAATTACTGAATTTTATTGAACCATACAAATGTTACAAAGGCTGGGAAAAGTCATCCAATAAGATAGTACATTTATTGGTAATAGATTCTGAGGTGTTCAATGTTCCATGGACGGGGTTGTGCCTTGCTGTTCATGTCTTCAATCCAGTAAGTCCCAGGTCTACCCTCTTCTCTGATTTTGTATGGTCCTTCCCAGTTCGGGCCTAGAGAACTGAAACCAGGTTCTTTTGAGGACAGGAAGATCCTCCTGAGTACCAGGTCGTTGATTCGGAATGACCTCTTCTTGACTTTCGAGTTAAAGTACCTTGTCATCTTTCTCTGATATGTGCTGAGTTTCAATTGGGAGTCATCTCTTCTTTCTTCGATGAAGTCGAGGTCGAACCTCCGAAGCTCGTCGTTGGTTATCTCGTTGAAGTGCAGACTTCTCGAGGATGGAAGTCCGACTTTCACGGGGCTCATCGCCTTAGTTCCATATGCCACGAGGAAGGGCGTTTCCCCTGTTGGTGTCCTGGTGGTGGTTCGGATCGCCCAAAGGACTTGGGGCAGCTCATCAACCCAGGCCCCTTTTAATACATCAAGCTTCCTTTTCAGGACGTGCTTGATTGTCTTGTTCATGGCCTCAACTTGGCCATTTGCTTGTGGGTGATGAGGTGTGGAGAAGTGCTTCTTAATGCCGAGCTCTTCGCATAATTCTCTAACCTTCTTATTGTTAAACTTTCTGCCATTGTCTGAGACAATTGAGTAGGGAATCCCGAATCGGCAAATAATATTTTTTCATAAGAACTTGGTGGTGTTGGCTTCAGTGATTTTTGCCTGTGGTTCAGCCTCGACCCACTTTGTGAAGTAATCAATAGCCAATATTGCAAAGCTTGCCCCTCCTCTGCCTTTAGGTAGGGGACCTATGAGGTCCACACCCCATTTTGTGAAAGGCCAGGAGCTGGAAACGGCGGTCAAATCCTGTGATGGTTGTCTCTGCACCGGAGAGAAGCGCTGACATTTATCTCATTTTCATACAAACTCGAGGGCGTCCCGCTTTAGGATAGGCCAGTAGTATCCCTGCCTCAATATTTTTTGTGCCAGAGATAGACCTCTGGAGTGGTTGCCGCAAACGCCCTCGTGGACTTCTCTTAATATGTAGGTAGCCTCTTTTCCTCCGACGCACCGTAGGAGTGGGGAGAAGAAGCTCTTCTTGTAGAGAATGTCATCAATGAAGAGGAAGTGGGCTGACCTCTTTCTTAGCTTGTAAGCCTCATTCTTGTTAGTTGGCAGTACTTGGTCTTTGAGGTATGCTATGATTGGCTGCATCCAAGTGGGAGTTTCAGCGATCCACATTACTGTAGGGGCCTCGATCGAAGGCAGGAGGAGGTGCTCAATAGGTACTACTGTGAGTAGCTCTGAGTCCTTGCTACTAGCCAGCTTCGAGAGGCATCCACATGTGCATTTTCGATGCGGGGGATCTGGATCAGCTCAAACTTTTCGAAAGATGGGATGAGGTTCATCACCATTTTCAGATAGGAGGCCATCGTTTTGTCTTTGGCTGAGAAGTTACCATTGACTTGGCTAACAACCAGTTGGGAGTCACTACTGATGAGTAGCCTCTTTACTTGTATTTTTGTGGCCAGCTTGAGGCCCGCAAGAAGTGCCTCATATTCTGCTGCGTTACTAGTAGCTTTGAATCCGAATCTCACTGCTGAGGTGAGTTTGTGACCTTCGGGACTGATGAGGACAACCCCGGCACCTGAGCCAACTTCTCCAGCTGACCCATCGATGAAGAGATTCCATGTGGGGGGCTCGGCGGGTTCCATGATTTCATCCACCTTGGGTAGGTTAGCGAATTCAGCCACAAAGTCAGCCAAGGCTCGCCCTTTTATGGCTGCCCTAGCCTTGAACACAAGGTCAAATTCACTTAGTTCCACTGCCCATTTCAATAACCTTTTTGAGGCATCGGGCTTTTGGAGTATCTGCCTCAGGGGAAAGTTTTTCAGTATATGGATGGTGTGAGCTTGGAAGTAAGGTCTCAATTTCCTAGAGGCTGTGATTAAGGCCAAAGGGAGTTTCTCCATATCGGGGTAACGAGTTTCTGGCAATAGGAACGCTTTACTTGTGTAGTATACGGGGAGTTGGGTAGACCCTTCTTCTCGTATCAGAACCGAGCTGATGGCCTCATTGGAAACGGCCAAATATAGTTGTAGGATATCACCGGGCTTCGATTTAAAGAGGAGGGGGCCTGTCCCAGGTGCATTTTCAGGCATTGGAAGGCCTCTTCACATTCCTCAGTCCACTGGAATTTCTTCCCAACCTTCAGTACTTTGAAAAATGGGAGGCATTTGTCTGTAGCTTTGGAAACGAAGCGGCTAAGTGCGGCCACTCGCCTGGTAAGACTTTGTACCTCCTTTAGCTTTTGGGGGGACCTCATTTTGCATAGAACCTCAATCTTTTCGGGATTGGCCTCAATTCCCCGTTGGTTGACCATGTACCCCAAGAATTTGCCAAAAGCTACCCCAAAGGCGCACTTGAAGGGGTTTAGTCTCATCCTATACCTTCTTAGGATTTGGAAAGTGCTGTTGAGGTGCATCATGTGGTCCTCGGCCTCCAAACTTTTTACTAGCATGTCGTCTATGTGGACCTCCATTGTTTTGCCAATGAGATCCATAAACATCTTGTTTACGAGTCTTTGGTAGGTTGCTCCGGCGTTTTTCAACCCGAAGGGCATCATTCTATAACAATAGAGGCCTCGGTCCGTGATGAAAGAGGTGTGTTCTTTATCGGCCGGGTGCATGGGGATTTGGTTGTAGCCGGAGTACGCATCCATGAAACTCAACAACTCGTGCCCAGCCGTGGAGTCTACTAGTTGGTCAATCCTTGGGAGTGGAAAGCTGTCTTTCGGGCAAACTCTATTGAGGTTAGTGAAGTCGATGCACACCCTCCACTTGCCGTTGTGTTTCTTTACCAAAACCGGGTTGGAGACCCACTTCGGATAGGTTGCCTCCCTGATGAAGCCATTTTGGATGAGCTTCTGAACTTCTTCCTTTAGGGCCTCATACCTCTCAGGATTGAGAGCTCTCCTTTTTTGTCTATGTGGGGGCAACCTTAGGATCGATTTTTAGGTGGTGGCAGCTGACCTTGGGGTCTATGCCTACCATGTCCTCATGCTTCCAGGGAAAAACATCAAGATTCTTGCTCAGGAAATCCTTAATCTTTTCCTTTAGAATGTTGGATAGGATTTGCCTACCTTCAACACCTTTGATGGGTCTCGGGGGTCTACCGAGAAGCTCTCAAATTCCTCTACTGGGGATGCCTGAGGCTCGTGTTCCATTATGTAGGGGCCAATCTCATCAATTACCTGCACCTCCGGATTAGGTGGTACGTCGATCATATCAACATCTTCTTGTTCAGTGGGAGCATCAACTGGGACATCAGCTATGATTACATGGACGTCCCGGGGCTCTACCTTCTTGATGGAGCTTAGATAGTACTCTCTCGAGCCTCTTTGGTGGCCTCTCACCGTTTTCACCCCATTTTCTGTTGGGAATTTCATGCATAGGTGGTGGATGGAGGTGACTGCTCCCAATTCCTTTACGGCTGGTCTGCCTAACACTCCATAGTAGGCCGACCGGCTGTCGACAATGAGGAACTCCGTGAAATTCATCGTTGTTTGTGGGGATTCTCCCATCTCCACCGCAAGTGCTATCTTTCCCCTCGAAGTGATGCTATCTCCGGTAAATTCGTACAATAGAGTGGTGGTGGGCATCAACTGATGATACAATATCATCTTGTCAAAGGCGGATCTGAATAGAATGTTGACGGAGCTGCCATTGTCAACTAACATTCGTTTGAGCCCATTCCGAGCTATGATAGCCCTCACCACAAGTGCATCGCAATGTGGGTAATGAACTCCCTTGACATCTTCCTGGGTAAAGACAATGGGTGGAACCTGGTTTCTTCGGGAGCTGCTACCCATAATGTAGCTTGTTAAAGGGAGGTGTTTAGCCTCCCGAGCATAATTTCTTTTGGCGTTTCGTGTTTCACCGCTAACATACGGACCTCTAAATATGGTATCCACCTCGTGGATAGGGGCTTCATCTCGAGGTTGCCGGTTTCTTCGGTGCCTACGCCCTTCCTTGGACCTCGCTGCATCATGCTCCCTTCGCCATGAGGATACATCCCTTTGACGGGGAACGGCCTCCTCACGCCCACGTCGGTTGTTATGCCTGGACGGGGGCTTGTTTGCCTGGGGCGAATCATGTCTGTCTCTAGCGGGTTCCTGCCGGGAACGTTGTGCATAGTCTCTACAATCCACTGTGTCATGCCCGTAGGACCTGTGGTGTACACAGTATCTTGGGGGGTTCGGATTTGACCTATTTCTAGGTCCAGAACCTCGACCAAGCCTCTCCCCCGACGGGATATCTCCTGGGCCTCCATCTGATGAGGGTCAGTAATTGGGTTGACATCTTCATATGTCAAGGTGGGAACCGCATTCAAAGTGGTGGTGGCAAGTGCTTGACCAGAGTTCTCATTTCCGGCCTGATTCATTTGGTAGCCCATCAGGTGGGAGGTCGGGCCTCTACCGCGCTGTCTTTGAGGAGGTGGGAGGCCTCTACTTGCCCCGTTCCTATGCTCAATCAATTTTTCATTGATGATCTCCCTTCTCATCATTTCGAGTAGGGCGTCATAGGTGGTGGGGTCTTGATTCTGCACGTCTCTCCAGAATAAGGTATTCATGTTCAGACCTCCCCTCAATACGGATAGTGCCTCTCGGTCAGTGACTTGTACGCAGTATGTCATCTCATCGGTGAAGCGTGATAAGAAACTCTTTAGGGACTCCCCATGTGCTTGCCTCATGTCCTAGAGACATTGGATGGGGGTCTCTCCTTCTTTGCTCACTGCGACCCTTTTCAAGAATGTTATATTGAACTCGAGCCAGCTTCTAATGCTCCCAGGTGGCAATCTGCTATTCCAAATTTCAGCCGCTCCACTAAGCGTTAAATGAAAGGCTCTACACTTTACGGTTGGGGTGGCGTCCCTTAGGCTCACGTGAGTTTTATAAGCATTCATGTGCTTCTCCGGGTCGCCTCTTCCGTCATACTTTGGTATTTTTGGCATAACATAGTGGCTCGGGACCTGGGCATTCCTTAGTTCCTTTGAGAATGGTAGATTCTCATCGTCATCGTCCAAGTCGCAGGACCTCTGCTATTCATTAAAGTCGTTCTCATCAGCCTCATGCCTTGGTTGTTGGTGAGAGGTCTCGGGGCGATCCCTAACCTCTTCCTCCCTCCCCTGTTGCCTATTTCTAGGCGGAGCAATACGGGGGGCATTTTTATGACTTCTCTCTGCCTGTTGGGGTATTGGAGGTGGAGGAGGTGGCCTTGTCCAAGGCTGTTAGCTTGCTGTTGCCTGAGCCTCGATTCGGCGTGGCTGATTCTGTCAAAAACACTTCCTGCCCTCCTATGTCTTGGATCTTACTCATACGGAGGTGGAAAATTATCATGGCTCATTTGGACCTCGGTGGGTCGGCCAGAAGCGTAGTTGAAAGAAATATCAACTTTCACTTCCCTTTCAAATGGGCTTCCACCTCGGCCATAGTCTGGCGAGGCAGCTTTATGACTTTGAACTTCATCCTCTTGCTGGTAGTGCCCTTGGGGGGCGTATGGAGAAATGAGGAAGCTTCCTTGGCCCTGCATTTGGGCTATAAGCTCCCTCATAGCCAAGTTTTGGCTAGCAATATCCCTCATGTTAGCTGTCATGGCGGCCATTTCTCTTGATAGTCGTGTCGTCGCACGCATCCCACCTCTTCTTTGGTGGTGGTGGAGTCTCTGTTGAGCTGCTGGAGCAGCGGGGTGAGGAGAAACGTTCGTGTTTTCTCTTACCCTCCTGGGGGGAGTATCTTCATTAGAGCTCATTTTCTTTTGTCAGACTTCAGATTTCACTAAGTAATGGGGCTTCCTCCTGTTCTTTTCCAAGAACAAATCCTTTTTCAAGGGGGGTTGCCCAAATGTTCTTTCAGTAAGCTTTTACCACAAGGTTGCTCGTGGTCATGGTCTGGTTTCCCACAGATGGCGCCAATCTGTTGACCCCAAAAAGTGTTGCCAACAGATGCCAGTCCCACCCGCGCACACGTGGGCGAATGTCCAACATGCTAAGACACGTGGACGGTCTAAAACGAGATGTTCAAAGGGCGTGGGAGTAGCCCAACGACGCTGAACGGTGACGTTCGGAATCCGGCGGGTTGTTTGTGATCTGATTGTACAATAATTACCAACCGGTGTTCGTAAATATATATGTAAATGTGTATAAACTCGATTTGTGTATTGCAAGTAAATGAGAGAGAGTTGAGTAAAGTGTAGTTCTTTGTATTGATTCTTGCATTAGCCTTTTGATGTTACACAGGGGAAGTATTTATAGTGATACATGTGAAATGGGAGCCCTTAGATGAGGTGACACGTGGCCTCATCTCTTCAATTCAAACATCTTATCCTAAGCATGGGCCTTGACTTGCTAGCTTGCTGCGCATTTATTGCTTGCGCAGAGCCCCCATACTAGTGATAAGACTTAACCTTTATGCTTATGACAAACGTTCCATCAATCATTCGAATAAGATCTTTATGCAGACGATCTCTTGGGAGAAGTGAACATGGAGGACACTCCCTTGTGGTTCGGAGGCTCCTGCATCAGCTTCGGGGTTTCGGTCATTTCACACAATACTTCCGCTTGAGAGCTTGAGCTATCTTCAACTAGCTCCAGCATCATGGCTTCGGTTCATGGGCCTCGGCATATGGACCTCGGTAAAAAGGCTACTCGGCTAATGGACTTCGGCCATTTCCCACCTCAACTGGAGTGTCACGTGGTTCGGCCTGATTGGGCCATTGGCCCAGGTGGATTGGCCAAGTATGACAACCCGCAACACAAAACATTCTTAGGCCCTGTTTGGTATAAATTAAAATTAAAATTTATTTTAAGTCAAAGTCAGTTGACTAATTTTAACCAAACATTTTATGGGACTTCACAACTTTTTAACAATATATTTAATCAATTTTTATGAAAATCTACTAAAAATCTGGCCCTTGTTTGAGCACATAGTAGAGGAAAGAATACATTTTCAATAGCAAATTGCTGGAGAATGCGCAGTTAAAAACTAAGAAAAATTATGAATTTGCGTCTAATATTATTTTATTAAAAATGTATTGTTGAAAATGAATTTTGAAAAAATGATTTTTTAAAAGAATGGGGCTCAAACAAGGGCTAAATTTTAATCTCCTTCAAACAAGAGCTTAATAAGAAAATAAGACTATACAATTGAAATAAGAAGATATGGAAAATAAACTTATATAGCCCTCGTTTGGCCCCCATTAATTTTCACTCCATTACATTTCATTTTTCTCTCTCCTATTTTCAATCACATGATTTTTCATAAAATAATATTACACGTAAATTAAAAAATTTTCCTATTTTTCAACCACTCATTTTTCAAAAAAATATTATTCCACCTATTTTTATTACCACATAATAGGGGTCAAACGGGGCATAAATGAGACAGATGGAGTATTAATTTTTTAAGAATACTATCATCGAAAGCAGGGCTTATTCCAGAAGGCAGCACTGGTTAGCACTGCATTTGCACAGTGTATATGTTGAACCAACATATACAAATGCTTATTGACT